CCTATTGGCAATACAGCTGATGTGCAGAAAATGCTTGACACTAACGTTGAATTCATAATAATGTATGGAGGAACTTCCTATAGATCCCAATCCTAATGTAGGTATCTAAGAGATTCTAACTTCCTAGATGATCTGAAATCTTGCTTTCTGCTAGAGATCCAGATATGTTGTTGTCTGCAAAGGAGCAATCTTAAGCCAAAAAGACAATGGAAGTCATCCCACTACCTATAGAAAGTGCAATTCTTACCCAAGAGTAGTAGGGAAATCAGTGTTTTTTCATCTTCAGGAGAATTGTTGAACAGTCTTTGTTTCATTAATTCTCAGATGACTGTACATTCATGTACAGTTATGGGCATCACACTAGAGGAACGAATTGAATGCACTGGAGTGTAGAAGAGGTTTACGAGAATGTTTCCAGGGATGAGACTCTTCGGTTATGAGGGAAGAATAAAGAAGTTGGGACTCTTTTCCTTAGACAGGAGGAAGGTACAGGGTGTTTTGATAGATGGGTTTTAGACACAGTAGATGGGGACAAACTGTTACTACTCTTAAGTGCTTCTAGAATGAGAGGGCACTGTTTTAAAATGTTTTGCAAAAGAAATAAATGTGAGCTGAGATTTTTTTTTTGTTGCACAGCAAGTAGTCAGGATCTGTAATACACTGCCTGGGTGTGTGGTGGAGGCAGGCTCAAATGAGGCATTCAAGAGGGCACTAGATGATTATTTAAATTGAAACACTGTAAAGGGATATGGGCAAGAGGCAGAAAAATTTGCACCAAGTTAAAATGCTCAGCAAATTGGGGCAGACATGTTGGGCCAAATGGCATCCTTCTGTGATGTAACAATTCTGTGACTCTGTGAGGCAGTGAGCAGCTCTTTTTTCATCACAGAAGCAGTGATTGATACAGCTGTGAAGTTGTCCTAGAGTTCTGAAATGCTTTAGCCCTTCCCCAGTTTTCAAAAGGAGAAGAAAGACAAGCAGAAGGAGAGAATGAGAACTTCATTTTGTTTTTTTCCTCTTTGTAGGTTACTGAAGATTTGTCTTTTAAATCAGTCTTTTTTTTTATCAGTTTTCATTGCTTTTACAATCAAGTTATTATTAGTCTCACAGTCCAGGTACCAGCCGTTGTGAGAAGCTGGCATTCTAACCTGCCAATGTATTTGTATTCTAAGGAGAAAATAATGGAGTCCATACCTTCCTCACTTCCTCATGAGGAGCCAAGAACACTGTTAGAGATTGGCTCCGTTGGCAAAAGAGACTTGGTAGGCAAGAGGGGCAGTGGGAGTAGGATGAAAATACAAATAATTAAGTGGTAAAATTAAAGATTTGATGGCGATGTAGTGCAAGGATGATAGGGTGCAACATCAATGATGTCATATCACATGGAACTGGGACCTGAGGGAAGAAGGTCCTACTGGAGCCTTGCTCAGCAATGTCTTTTTAAAGTGTAAATAGCTCATAAATGTTCTCTTTTTCACTAGTGTGGTTTCAAGTCCTCATCTGCCAAAAACACCCGGACCCAGGTTGTAAGGCTTTGTAAAAGGGCAAATGCAAGTAAATATGATATGACATGTCAAACTCCTTTACTTGACATTATGGTATACCTATTAATTTGTCAGCAGGGATATTATGAACCCATGATTTAGAGAGGGAAATAAATTTGTTGAATCTGTGTCCTGCTCCACATTCTATGCCAAAAACATTGCAAATGGACAAATGTTATCTTTACATTTTTGTTTCAATCAATCTGAAATCTATAAGAGATATTATATTTTTACCTCTGCCCAATCTTTTTGATTATTTACTCAAACTTCACTCAAAAATAATCACAGCAGAGAGCAAGAATGGATTACACATTCAAGGATAATATGCAATCTTTAGCAAAATGGGAGCAGCATGCATGCTTTTAATAGAAAATGTATAGAGTATAATGGTCTGCCCAAATTATTTGTAAGGCATCTCCTATAGTTATATTTCTTAGAAACTACTGCTACTTATGAAGCAGATTTAGCTAATCAAAATCAAAATCACCAAAAGTCATGAAGTAGAATTAAGCTGTTTAACCCATCACATCTTGTTAGTCAATTAGATCATGGCTAATCATTCTCAGCTCCTCTTTCCTGCCTTTTTCCTATAAATCTTGATTTCTCTTACTGATTAAAAATTTCATTAATTCAGCTTTGAATATAATTAAGAGTCCAACCTCTACAGCCCTCTGCAGTAAAGAATTTGTCAGATTCACTACTCACAGAGAAGAAATTCCTCATCTTCTCTGTATTAAATGGGTGACGCCTTGCTCTGATTACTCTGCCCTCTGGTCTCCTACAAAGAAAAACAACTTCTTAGCATCTACCTTGTCAAGTCCTCTAAGAATCTCATACCTTTCAATAAGGTCACCTTCCATTCTTCCAAATACCAAAGAGTACAGGCCCAAATAGACCCAAACCTATCCACAACTTTATTCTTCACCTGTCACTATATCACCATCTTTTTGTTTTATAATATTATTGAATAATTTTATAATATTCACAGAGGCTTCATACACCATGACATCAAGTTACGAAAATGTGATAAGAGATCAGATCAACAACAATTTGATCAAAGAGGTGGCTTTTAAGGGGTGTATAAGCAGGAAGTGAGGCAAAGAGGTGAAGAGATGTGGAAAATATATTATTGAGTTTGTGGGCCTAGGCAACACAAGGTACAACTACCTATGGTAGAGCAACTAAAATCAGGATGCACAAAAGGCAGGAATTAGAGGAGATCAGATATCTTAGAGGATTAGGAGACTGCAGGATATAGTAAAAGGGGAAGAGAAGAAGAAATTTGAAAACAAGGATGTGAATTTTAAAATCAAGACATTGTTTAACAGCAGGGAGAGGGATTTGGTGCAAGTTAAGACATACACCAGGGTTCTGGATGTGTACAATTTAGAGGATAAAATGTGAGAGATCAGCCAGAAGTACATTGGAATAGTGAAATCTGTAGGAAACAAAGCAATAAGTGAAGGTTCAGCTACAAATGAGCTCATAGATGGGGTAAAGCCAGCTAAATTTTACTGAAGTGGAAATAGGCAGTCTCAGTAATAGTGCATTTATGAAATCAGAATCTCATCTTGTGATCAACTGTGAAACCAAGGTTGTGAACAGACTGGCTTAATTTCAGACTGTTTCCAGGGACAGGGATAGTATCAGTAAATAAGGAACAGAGGTTAGAGCGGAGACCAAAATCAGTAGCTTCACTATCCTCAGTATTTATTTGGAGGAAAATTCTGCTCATCCAGTGTTAGATAAGTAGACTGATAGTTTACCAGCAGTGGAAGAGTCGAGAGAGGTAAAAATGAGGAAGAGATTGGTGTCATCAAAATATGCATGAAGATTAATAAGGACATAAGAAATAGAAGCAGTAGAAGACCATCTGGCCCATCAAGCCTGCTTCGCCATTTTGTAAGATCATGGACTCAGCTCCACTTATCCACTCACTCACCATAACTTTTAATTCCTTTACTGTTCAAATATTTGTCAATCTTTGCCTTAAAAACATTTAACGAGGTAGCCTCAACTGCTTCACTGGGCAGGGAATTCCACAAATTCACAACCCTTTGGGAGAAGAAGTTCCTCCTCGACTCAGTCCTAAATCTGCTCCCCCTTACTTTGATGCTATGTTCCACCTTCCAGCGGAAGCAACCTCTGCTTCTATCTTACCTATTCTCTTTATAAATATATATGTTTCCACATGACCCCCCTCATTCTTCTAAATTCCAATGAGTATAGTCCCAGTCAACTCAATGTCTACTCGTAAGCCAACTCTCTCAACTCTGGAATCAACCTAGTGAACCTCTTCTGCACCTCCTGCAGTGCCAGTACATCCTTTCTCAAGTAAGGAGACCAAAACAATACACAGTACTCCAGGTATGGCCTTATCAGCACCCTATATCTGCAGCATAACCTCCCGATTTTTAAGCTCCATCCCTCGAGCAATGAAGGACAATATTCCATTTGCCTTCTTAAATACCTGCTGCACCTGCAAACCAACTTTTTCTGATTCATATACAAAGACACCCAGACCCCTCTGCACTGCAGCATGCTGCAATCTTTCACCATTTAAATAATAGTCCATTTTGCTGGTATTCCTACCAAACTGGACGATGTCACATTTACCAATGTTGTACTCCATCTGCCAGGCATTTGCCCACTCACATAACCTATCTACAGTCTGCAGACTTTCAATGTCCCCAGAACACTCTGTTCTACCAATCATCTTAGAGTCATCTCCGAACTCTGACAAAATATACTTGGCCCTGAATTCTAAATAATCTACGTAAATTGGGACCGTAATGGTTTACAATACTGATCCCTGAGGAACACCACTAGCCACTGATCACCAACCAGAAAAACTTCTGTTTAACCCCACTCTTCGCTTTCCATTAGTTAACCAATTTTCTATCTAGGCTATTCCATTACCAGTAATGCCATGCATGTTTAACTAATGCAGCAGCCTTTTGTGCGGCACTTTGTTGAATGGCTTCTGGAAATCCAGATATACCACGTGCACTGGTTCCTTATTGTCCACTGTGCTCGTAATGTCCTCAAAGAATTCCAGTAAATTAGTTAAACATGTCCTGCCTTTCACGATTCCATGCTGCATCTGCCCAATGGGACAATTTCTATCCAGCTGTCTCACTACTTCTTCCTTGATTATAGATTCAAGCATTTCCCCACTACAGAAGTTAAGCTAACAAGCTTATAGTTACCCACCTCTTGACTATCTCCTTTTTTAAACAGTAGCATCACATTTGCTGTTTTCCAATTAGCTGGAACCACACCACAGTCCAGAGAATTTTGGAAAATTACCACAGGTGCATTTACTCTTACTGCCACCATCTGTTAGTACCCTTGGATACATTCCATCAGGGCCAGGAGACTCGTCTACCTCAGCCTCATTAGTTTGCCCAACACAATCTCTTTTGTGATAATTATCGTGTCTAGGTCCTCACCTACTCACTTATCTTAGCCTCTTTGTCATCAATTACTGGCAAGTTATTCGTGTCCTCCACGGTGAAGACCAACAGAAAATACCTGTTCAATGCCTCAGCTATTTCCTTATTTCCCGTTATTAAATTCTCCTTCTCATCCTCTAAAGGACCAATGTTTACCTTTTTTTCGTTTTATATATTTATAGAAACTTGTCCTATCTGTTTTTATATTCTGAGCTAGTTTATTCTCATAATCCATGTTATTTTTCTTCATGGCTTTTATCATGGTTTTCTGCGGACCTTTAAAGATTTCCCAATCCCCTAGTTTCCCACTAATCTTTGCTACTTTGTATGCATTTGTTTTCAATTTGATACTCTCCTTTATTTCTTAGTTACCCATGGTTGATTATCCCTGTTCTACAATCCTACCTTTTCACTAGTATGAACACTAGTTTTGAAAGTCCTCCACTGTTCCTCAATTGTCCCACCACATAGTCTTTGCTCCTAGTCTACCTTAGACAACTCCTCCCTCATCCCAATACAGTCTCCTTTGTTCAAGCACAAGTCACTGTATTGGATTTTACCTTCTCAGCCTCCATCAGTATTTTAAATTCAACCATTCTGTGATCGCTCCTTCTGAGAGGATGCCAAATTATGAGATCATCAATTATTCCTGTCTCATTACACAGGACCAGATCTCGGATAGCTTTCTTCCTCATGGGCTCAATTCCATACTGTTTGAAGAAACTATCGCGGATACATTCTATGAACTCCTCCTCCAGGCTGCCTTGACCGACTTGGTTTGACCAATCAATATGTGGATTAAAAGTTCTGAGGAAGGGTCACCGGACCCGAAAATTTAACTCGGTTTTCTCCTTCACAGATGCTGCCAGACCTGCTGAGCTTTTCCAGCAATTTCTGTTTTGTCATGTGGATTAAAATCCCGCTTGATAATTGCCGTACCATTTTCAAATGTATCAGTTATTTCTTTGTTTATTACTCACCCCACCATGATGTTATTTATTTAGTGGCCTATAGACTACACCTATCAGTGACTTTTTCCCCTATTTCTAATTTCCACCCACATTGATTCAACCTTATTCTCCATAGAACCTATATCATCTCTCACTACCACCCTGATGTTGTCCTTAAATATCAGAGCAACACCACTTCCCTTACCTTCCCGTCTGTCTGTCCTTCGAATAGTCCGACACCCCTGGATATTTAACTCCCAGTCGTGACCACCCTGTAACCATATCTCTGCAATGGCCACTAAATCATACCCATCCACGATGATTTTTACATTGTTTTGAAAGCTGCGAGTATTCAGGTAGAGTGCTCTATTGCTCATTTTGATACCTTCCTTTTGAATCCTAACACCTTCACCAGAAGAATCTTTGTTTTCAAACATTCTCACTTTTTTTGTCACTACCTGGTTTCCACTCATCTTAGTGCCACACTGCTCAGCTGCTTCTTGCTTTTTATTTACTGTCTTGATTCTTTTTCTTCCTTAAGCCCCTCACCCACTCTAACTAACTCAGAGCCTCTCCTTATGTTCCCAACTCCCTGCCAAACTAGTTTAAAGTCCACCCAACAGTGCTAGCAAAACCACCTGCAAGAATATTGTCCCTGTCACTGTTTGGGTGAAGATCATCCCTCTTGAATAGGTCCCACCTTCCTTAGAAACAGTCCCAGTTTTGCAGAAATCCAAAGCCCTCCTTCCTACACCACGACCCCCGCCACATATTAAACTGCCTAATCTGCCAATTCCTAGCCTCACCAGCACGTGGCACAGGTAGTGGCTTTCAATCTGGCTTCTAACTCCCTAAATTCAGCCTTCAGGACCTCATCCCTTTTCCTACCTTTGTCATTGGTACCAACATGTACCACAGTCACTGGCTAGTTCCCTCCCCGCCACCCCCCCCAAAATGCCCAGCAGTCACTTACAGAACCACACCATCCTGTTGTCACTAGAGCGGCTGCAGAAGCACCTCTCTTTGCCCCGAACAATTGAGTCTCCTATCACTGCAGTCCTAACAGCCTTTTTCTCCACCTTCCATGCAGCTGAGCCACCCATGGTGTTGCAGGTTTTGCTTTGGTCTGCAATCTCCTGAGGCATTATCACCATCACCAGAACTCTCACAGAATACCGGTTGGCTATTGGGATGGCCTTAGGGGACTTATGCACTACCTGCCTCGCCTTATGCTTGCATGTGACAGTCATGCATTCCCTATCCTCCTGCAACCTTTTACAGTGTGAGGTGACCACTGCCTTCTATACACTATCCACATAACTCTCATTCTCCTGGATGCTCCTCAGGGCCTCAAGACCTCTCTTCAGCTCTGTAACCTGGTGCACACGTGTTACTCATCGATGCAATCAGCATCTAAGAAAACTGTAATTTCAGATGCCACTAAGGAGCAATGTGTAGAATAGAAATGGGAGGGAGCAAAGGACAGTTCCTCCAGACACATCGGAGATAATGGTACAGAACAAGAAGCGAACCATTGGACGTATGTAGATTAAAATGGAACCAGGTGGAAGCAGCCACACCCAACTGGACAACTGAAGCAACTCCATAAAGGCCGGTATCCCGTCACCAAGTCACCCTTTATTTACATGTCAAGAGTCCTTGGCACTGATCCAGCTCCCTCACAGCCAGCTCTCAGTGAACAGGATGTCTGTCACTCCTGTTTATATCTGTCAGACAGGGCTTCCTGATTGGACCAGATTAACAGCCCCAATCAGGGAACTCATATTCTATGATATCCACCTGGTTGACCTCATTACAATCACTACAACGACAGTCGACACTTTGAAGGAGGATGCTATGGTCAACTGTATCAAAGCTGAAGACAAATCAATAAAGGGCAAACCACATTGTCACAACAGGATATCATTTGTAACCTTGATTAGAGTTGTTTCAGTAAAATGACAATGAGGGAAACCTGACTGGAGGAATTCAAGCATACAGTTTCAAGGAAGATAGGAGAGGATTTGGAAGACAGCAACACGTAGAAAGACTTTAGAAGAGGAAATTGAGGTTGAAGATGGGACAGTGGATCACAAGAACGATTTCTCAGGTAGTGAAATAGGGAACTCGCTTTTTCATAGTTTTTTAAAATTCATTCACGGAATGAGGGCATCGCTAGCCAGGCCAGTATTTACTGCCCATCCCTAATTGCCCAGTGGGCAGTTCAGAGTCAAACATGTAGCTGTGGGTCTGGACTCACATGTAGGTCAGACCAGGTAAGGATGGCAGTTTCCTTCCCTAAAGGACATTAGTGAATCAGATGGGTTTTTCCCAACAATCAACAATGGATTAATGGTCATCATGAGATTCTTAATTCCAGATCCTTTATTGAATTCAAATTCCACCATCTGCCATGGCAGGATTTGAACCAGATGTGATCTGGGTCTCTGGATTAACACTCCAGTGATAATACCACTAGGCCATAGCTTCCATAAACGGCGAGGCAGAGTCAATTGACATTTTCAAGCTTAAGATCATCAAATTTTTGCTAAGAAAGGACAAGACAAGTTCATGGTACAAAGGTAGATGGTTGGAGTTGAGGTGAAAATCAGCCACATTGTAAGTGAATGGCTGGAGAAGCTTGAAATGCTGATTGGCTTAGTCAAGTTTCTCTGATTTTTAGTTTTATATTTTGCCTGGAACTATTGCCGCAGACCTATGCACCACCAATGTAACTTCCCAATTTGCAGCAGTTTCCATAGCAACTTGGAGTTATGTTTTTTCACCATGAGTTGCAGTAGACTGGAACATTCTGTAAGACACACATGCATGCATTTGTGGTCTGAATAAAAATGTTTATGATTAACACTACAGTAAATAAATGGCAACCCAGAGGTCAGAAAAACAAACTCCACTTAATGTCTAATGCGTATTGCTTTCCCTTATGAATATGTCCATGTTTTCAAATTTAGAACAAAAGTAACCAGTGTCCCAGAGAATGAAAGTAGCTGCTATGTTTGGTTCTCTGCAACTTTCTTTAACTGCATGTGGCTGCTTAAATCCTTAATCCATTTTAATTGCTTCAAAGACTGGTTGCTGCTCTACATTCAACAATCACTTAAAATGAATATACCTTGCCCAATATCATCAACCGCATGTTTATCATTTCCAGACAGATGTTTGCCCCATCTAGTAATCAAGTTTCCTATTGAAAGGCTGATTAATACTAGAAGCTGTTTACTGCTAAGTTATACATTTTAGTACACAAACATGTAACGTTAAATAGTACCCTCTCTGTATTGCAACAGTAAGGAAATATTTGCGAAACACAGTAGGAAAAGCACACTTCAAAAGAACAGAAGTCTGAAAAGTACCCACCACAACCTTATCTGCGCTGATGATAAACAGAATGAGCTAGACACAGCATTAATTCAATTAGCCTGTCATTGAGCACAATGAGAACAATCTACTTTTCCAGCTTTTACTTGTCAGGAACAAAAGACCAATATTCATACATGTTCTCATTTGATGGTGGTTTCCATGGCAACCTGGAGCTACATTATGCCCTAAGCTGAATTTTAAAACCTGTTGAGCCTCTTGCAGATTTACAGAGACATGTTGCTTTTACAAAGTCACCAATACTATGAAAACAGTAAATGGTAACAAAAAGCCATAATTGAGTTGGACAATTAGCAGCTAAAATACCATACAACTGAGGTGACAAGATATGGCCCTTACCTGCAAAAATCTACAGAAAACATCGTTTATTTTCCAGAGTGCAAGATTCCATAATTTTTAAAAGTCCTTTTCTTTGCCTTTTGGCTGCAGTTAAAGAAGCTGTGAACAATTCATTTGTGACAACTCAAGTTTCCAATCCCAGAACTCTTTATGCTGGCATTAATAATAATTCCAAAATTTCCCATTTCACAGTCTAAAACTACTAAGACTTCAGGATTGTAGAAATGACACCACAGTCACAAGAAAGAAAAAACTTCTTCCAAACAGAGGCTTGGAAAAATAAACAAGTGAATTCAACAATGAGGCTAAAATAGAGAGAACGGCAAGTGAAACAGTAACTGTCGCAAAAGAGCCAAAATTCAAGGATAGCCACGGGGCAAAAGTGGATAACAGCTTTGTTTGAATGATTGGTATCCAGCAATGGGTGTAGTCAGAAAGTCGGGTAATCCCAGTATGTATCACAGGCTACAGAGCTAAACACAAATCCTGTACAGGAGTATTATGTTCCCACTGTACAACTTTGGAGAGGGAATGTGCTCTCAAAAAAGTGTAATGTCAAACAACACTTACAAATGCTTCTCATGAAGAAATAAAACAAATATAAAGTAGGTCCTGGATCCCATCAACACGTAACTTTATGTGTGAGCAGTCATATAGAGAGATATAATGGGAGAGGCAAGTGAAACAATGGCCAAGGAGGAGGGGATGTGATGCAGAGAGAGAAATTGGCTAAAGGAACCATAAATATTCCCATCATTTTATAACATTTTCATTAGATTAGCTCCATTGTAAGATTTCTGTGGGATTTCATAATGCAGTCTATGAATAATAAGATATGGAAATATGTACAAAACTGAATCAAAGTATGCTTTATTAAATACCACAAAGATCTTAAATAAGTTAACGCTTTAATACTTTACTTGAGAGCCTTCACAATTCTGAAGAGGAGTTTCAGGTGTTAATGAAATTGTTGCATATTTCCAGCATGTTCTGTCTTTGCTTCAAATTTCAAGCACTTCTATGCTTATTCCCCTTTGTTTACCTTATTGGTGCATGCAGTCCTGAAGGGAAAAAGCTCACAATGTACAAACTACTTAACCTCAAAAGAACCAGTAATATTACTTGTTCTGGGTGGTCCAGCTTCCAGTGGTTATTGCTTGGAGATATAACAGTTTAACCCAATTCCCAAACCTTGGCTTTGATAATTATGAGGTGGTGAGGAGGACACAAGGAAACTGAAAATGACTGAAAGACCAAAAGTTGGGGATGTGGTAGTCTTAATCATTAACATGATTTGATGGTTCTGGACCACACTAAAAACTGGAAGGAGCAAGTAGCCATGGTTGAACAAAAGCTGGGCATGTGAGGATGACAGTGACAACACTATTATGAGTAAAAACCTAGTCATCAAAAAGTGAGGTGCTCTTGGTGTTGGTGTAAGTAGCACTGGTCTGGCCCAGGTCTTCACTGTTGGTCTACAGTGATCACCGGCGCCATCCTCCACATTACCTGGAGGTTGAAGATGAATAGTGTTCACAGGAACATGGTGTACAAATCGCTAGATAAAGGAAGAAAAACAAAATCATGCCCAACACTGCCCTCATCCTGACAGCCACCTCTTTGTGCAGCTGTGTCAAGCTGTGTGTAGATTGTGCAATGACACTTGTTTGCATACTGACACTGAGGTTCTACTGGTCCC